CAGGAGAGGGAAGGAGGGTGATCAAAAGCACGGTCGAAGTGGAGGGTCTTGAGATGGGTCTTGAAAGAGGCAAGTTCACAAAATTACCATAAGACCGGTCTGGAAAAAGAATACCCTTTGGCCCATACTAACACTCACCCTATTGTCCCCCCCATCACATCATCGAATTGCTATTTTAATGCATTCCAGTGTCCTGGGTGGGTTCTTACCACTTGCCTGGTAACCTGTTTCGATTGTTGATTACCCTCCACGTCAAGAAAAAAATCCTCTTAACACAGCAGTGATCTTTGTCAAGACTGAGACAAAACAAGAGACTACGCCCGATGTGGTGATGGAAGCCTGAATAGACATAGTACGCTGTGTTTCAATGCAAAGAAGAGAAAAGACACATGTGACTATTCTAGATAGACTTGAAGAGAGTTAATTAATTGGAACACCCACCAGCCCACATGCAATTATAAGGACAAAGTGTGTATGGGTGTGGCGGTGGTGGTGGGGGGGAGAAAATAGAGAGAAACTTCACAAGATTAATTTCGATGAAGAAAATCTTTCGACCCATCTGATCGCATCCTTTCAGATTGCTTGTCTCCATCACAGTATTCAGCCATTTCCTGCAGGAATCGTGGCCTCAACACCCCCTTCCTGACAATCCTATTAAAATTGTGTTCTACACAACATCCTCATCTCTTCCACCAACCCACCCCCCTACTGAGAAAGGAATAGATAAAAGTTACAGCATCAATACAAAAATGCCCTTAGTAATGGAAATGTCTTCCTGTGAAAGTGTTTGGCTATTGCACTGGGAAACCAAGAATAGCTTCCTGGGGGAGACTTATTGAACATCACAAGACAAGGTCTAATATCCTGACACTGCATATTGTCTCTGTGCAGAAAAGAAACAAAAGGGGAGTGATTCATCTAGATAAGGGAACATTGAAAGGCAAGGCTGGTGGGCAACATCACAAAGAAACAAAGCTCAGGGGAAAAAAATCGCTGATCGTCAAACAGACAAGATAGGAAAATGAGCAGGAAAGACAAGAAGTCGAATTTGCAGCAGGTGGCACTATTTTATAACAAAATGGAAATGGTCGTACCTTGAATTTCTAATTTAATGAGCTCCGACTTTTGTTGGCTGAGCTATCAAAATTATGTTACTGCTTGCCAGCCAAGTGAGATTACAGTTCTGGTCATTGTGACGTAAATGAGGCTGCACAGGCCCCTAGAGCTGCGCAGAGGAGAGCATCGAGGATGATCCCCAGTATTGATGGAAGGTTCTTTGAGCAACAATTAGACAAGTTAGGGGGCTCTTCTAAATGACTCGGTGGGGCCTCTATCGAAGTATATAATGTTGTGAATAGTAAATATATGGAACAGGCTCCATAGGGAGACGGTGGAAGCAAAAAGTGCTGATTCTTTTAAAAGCAAATTGGATAGATTTATTTTAGATAATAATATCTTGGGATACTGTGTATAGTTTGGGGCGTGACATGTGCATGCGACTGCCAGGATAGTGGAAGGCACACTGGATGGACCTTGGTCTTCTTTTATCTAACAAATTCTTATGTTCTTATGTTTCAAATGGGATTGAAAAAGTAAACCCAGAACAATACTTTCAGACTCTATGAGACAGCAGAACAAGAGGACAAGGGTTTAGAGTTGCAAAGGGTCATTTCAAGACAATAACAACAACTTGCATTTATATAGCGTCCTTCACATGGGATTGCATCCTAGAGTGCTTGACAGTGGCGGAGTCTGACAATGAGCCAGGGGGAGAGGGAGGGGGCAAGGCGGAGGGATTGAGGAAGAGAGTTCCAGTGTTTCGGGGCGTAGTGACTGAAGGCACGGACACCGATGGTGGAGCGGAGGGGACAAGAGACAAAAAGGAGGCTGGAGCTGGGCGAGCAGAGGCAGCCGGTGGTGGAGTGGGGGGGTAAACACGTCGGATAGGTAGGGAGGTACGAGAGCTTGAAGGGATTTGAAAATGAGCGAGAGGATCTTGAAATCGATCCGTTTGGTGATTGGGAGCCAGTGGATTCTGGCAAGGACAGACAACATCTTTACCCAAAGGGTAATTAATGACTGGAACAGGGTTGCCAGGAAGGTTGGTTGAGGCCAGGACCCTGGGACTTGTTTAAAAAGCAGCTCAGAGCAGTGATGGGGGGACAGTCAGGTGGGTGTTCTGGAGGGATGAGATCAGATGTGCTGAAGTGCTCACATCTGGAGTAAACTGGGGTAGAAGCACTTGTTTTTTTGGTCCATGAATTAGATTTGCTGCTGTAACCAGTGTTTTTTTCACCCAAACAAACTGTTAATTCATGCCTGGCACTGGTGACAAAATTGCCAAAGTTATTGGTCTTGCTTGTAGTTACATAATTACAGCACTTCAGTGTATTTTTGAAAGGTTTACATTCTAGTATGTAGCACACCTTCTTATGTAATCATGCGGAAAATGACAATAAATTAGTGTTAGGGTTAATGATCTGAATCACTCATGTGATCAACTGCAACTTCTAAGAGTGCAGCGTAATAATAATATTAGTCCTTGCATTTGATGTGGTGCCTTTTCACGTAATTGAGGTGTCTCAAAAAGCTTCATAGACTATATTGTAAAGTGAATTGACTGGATATACGGGTAAAATTTTGGGTGTGTATTATACCACATTCAAGGCTCCTCACAAATATTCTGGCCTTGGAAGAGTATCTTAGTACAGACTCCATCGTGACAATTTGTTACCACAAGTTATATCTTTCTCAAAGGTTATGATCAATTCAATATAAAGGTTCTTTCAGACATAAGAAACTGATTAGCTCCTTGCCAGTGAAGAGTACAGAGTGGGATATAGATCAATGTTTAGTCCACTGAAAACTCATTTAAATAGACAGCAGGAATCCTAAAGCTATCCCTAATACCAAGCTGTGACTCGTTTCAGAACAGCACAGCATATTATAATCATGGATCAAGAACAACGTGCATCTACATAGCGACCTTCAAGTGGGATAGCGTGTGAGTGCTTCACAGTTGTGGAGCCAAGCAAGAGAGAGGGTGGAGCAGAAGATGACCTTAAACTAGCTGCTTAAACTCTAGTTCAAGTAAACAGTGTGTGAGTGCCACACATATGTAGAATTCTCAGGGATGGATGGATGCATCACACATGCGGAAACCCATCACCATGCAGAAGCGTATTAAAAAAATATGCTTAAGACTATCCAAACCAAACTGAAAATTCCATGCATGCCACCTCGATGGAAATTCGAGAGAGGGAGAAAAATGTGGATCACACAACTACACAGGCACCAAGCCTCGCCTGGCACACAGGAACACATTGTTGCTGTGTTTTAGAGTTAGGCACAAGCCAAGTTACTCCGTCACCCATTTAAGAAAAACAACACACACACACACACACACATATACATCTTTTGGCAAATCTCACAAAGGCACACTTGTACAGCAGATCACTGCTGGCTGCAGACAACCTTACAAACTCTCCAATACATCAAGCCTGTAATGAGCTTGAGGCTTTCAGCACACAGAAACATCTTGCTCAGAGTTCACAGCAACTAGATTTGGTTTATATATATTATGTATTATATATATATGTATATACACAGTCTGTGCACAATTGGTTGCCATGATTCACCCACAAAACATACATTCAATTCACTTTACAGTATATTCTGTGAAGCGCTTTGAGACATCTCAATGACTAGATAATGTGCTATACCAAATACAAAGATTATTATTATAATTATGATTATTATTACTACATACATACAACTACAGTAAACCTCACATAAGTTGTATCAGTTGGGACTATACGTTTAATATGACTTATGCAAAATATGGGTTATATGAAACTTATAAACGATGGGAAATTCAATGGGACTTGGACAGATGTACGACCTAGTCAATGATACGATTTATACAGAACAGACTTATGCGAGCATTACTGTATAGATAAAAAAAATACAGAATTCAGCTGATTTTTTTTAAATAACAACAAAAATGAACTGAACCTCATTGCTGAAATTTCAACAGAAAGCTTTTTTATCCAGATACAACCGCCCCACCCTCCACCCCATCCCAACACCCAGCCCCACCCCAGTTTAAAGTTATTTCCAGTTGAACTATTACACCACTGGAACACGCAGACACTCATACAGACACACATGCAAACACACACACACACACACGTGCAAACACACACACACACACAGGCACACATACAAACACACACACACACAGGCACACATACAAACACACACACACACAGACACACATACAAACACACACACACAGACACACATACAAACACACACACACACATGCAAACACACACACACACAGGCACACATACAAACACACACACACACACGCATACAAACATACGCGCATACATACACATACAAACACACACACAGACACGCATACATACACATACAAACACATACAAACACACACACAGACACGTATACATACACATACAAACACACACAGACACACATACAAACACACATACAACCACACAGAGAAACACACACAGACACACACACATACAAACACACAGACACACACACATACTAATACACAGACCACACAAACACACACACAAACACACACACAAACGACGTCAAACGAATGCGAAGTTTCACAGCCCAGAAACGAGCTTATTCTGCGGGAATCGATGACCCATTCGATGTGAGAGGCAGAGAACGAGAGAAGCGCCTGAATTGCAAGTGCATCGCTTGCAATAACAGTGCGTGTGTGTGTGTGTGTGTGTGTGTATATATCTGTGTGCAAAAAAAAACACATGCACACACCTGCAAAAGAGAAAGAGGGTTTAGTTAAGGAGGGGAAAGGGTGAAGCAATATCCGACTGCACTTTACAAGAGATGGGAAGGTGAAGTGAGGCTGTATTGGGTGTTGGTTGATGACACATTGACACATACATCATTGTGGCCTCAGAGAGAAAGAGAGAGAGAGAGAGAAACAGAGGACTTACCTATGTGGATGATGGAGTCACTGGCCACAGTGTCTGTACACAGAAGCCAGGAGATGGCCAGAGCCAAGGCCAGAAAAACTTCCATTTCTTTTTCACCCTCAGTGTGGGTTGGCATCCAACAGGCACTGTGTCCACCACATAACGTGAAGGCGAGGAGCCTCTGGCAATCTTCTCTCTCTGTCTCTCACTCTCTGTCTCTCTCTTATCTTTTTCTCTCTGGTTCTCTCTCACTCTCTGTCTCTCTCACTCTCTGTCTCTCTCTACCCGTCTCTCTCTGGTTCTCTCACTCTCTGTTTCTCTCTATCTTTTTCTCTCTGGTTCTCTCTCACTCTCTGTCTCTCTCTCTCTCTCGTTCTATCACTCTCTGTCTCTATTTTATCTTTTTCTCTCTGGTTCTCTCTCACTCTCTGTGTCTCTCTCTATCTTTTTCTCTCTGGTTCTCTCTCACTCTCTGTGTCTCTCTCTATCTTTTTCTCTCTGGTTCTCTCTCACTCTCTGTCTGTATCTTTCTCTCTCTGGTTCTATCACTCTCTGTCTCTCTCTATCTTTTTCTCTCTGGTTCTCTCTCACTCTCTATCTCTCTCTATCTTTTTCTTTCTGGTTCTCCCACTCTCTATCTTTTTCTCCCTGGTTCTCTCTCACTCTCTGTCTCTCTCTTTTTCTCTCTGGTTCTCTGTTTCGTTCTGGCTCTCTCTCTCTGTCTCTTTCTCTCTCTCTGTTTTTCTCTCTTTTCCTCTTTGCTTCTGTCTTTCTGTCTCTCACTATGTCTATCTCGTTCTCTGTCTCTCTCTCTCTCTCTCTCTCTCTCTTTTCCAGTCTCTGGTTCTGATTAGATTGACCAGGAGGAAAACTGTGGATTGCTGCCCTCGATGTAAGCAAAACTCAAATCAATACAAATGAATGAACAAACAAACAAACAAATCCACTCGTTTAGAAGTTCGAGAGCTTTGACAGAGAGAGAGAGAGGGAGTGAGGGGAGTGAGGGGAGTGGGAGGTGGAAAGGAAGAAATAAATCTTGTGGTCTCTCAGTCCTCGACACCTTCCAATTGCACTCAGTCTGGTGATGGAGATGGGTTGGGGACCACTCAGCGCCTCTCGCTGTAACCTGTCACTGAAGCAGACCCTCACCCTCACCCTGGCTCTGGCTCTGACCCTCACCCTGGCTCTGGCTCTGGCTCTGACCCTGACTCTGGCTCTGGCTCTGGATGGCTTTCCTCGGCTCTGCTCCCTTCTGGTGTCCCGGGGCTGGTGGTTTTGTACCGGGAGAAAGGTGTGCGATCTCCCCGCTGTAGCTGCCGCAATTGCCGGCGAGTGGTGTCAGCTCCATCCCTCCTCTTCCCCAGGAATTGTCGGCTCCAAATCAGCTTCAGCTTCAGCTCAGCTCCCGGGAAGCATTCGGAGCGCTCCCCTCCCGATCCTCCAGTGCGTTCCCCCCCTCCGTGGACCACGGGCTCAGTCCCATCCGCTGGTGCAGACACAGCCACTCTCCATCCCTCCTCTCCTCTTGGGAGGTGGTACTGAGGGTCTCCGCCTTCAGAGTAGCTCAGAGAGAGAGACGCACACACACACACACACACACACAGACCAGCCTTCAGAGTAGCTCAGAGAGAGAGAGACACACACACACACACACACACAGACCAGCCTTTAGAGTAGCTCAGAGAGAGAGACACACACACACACAGACCAGCCTTTAGAATAGCTCAGAGAGAGAGACACACACACAGACCAGCCTTTAGAGTAGCTCAGAGAGAGAGAGAGAGACACACACAGACCAGCCTTTAGAGTAGCTCAGAGAGAGAGAGAGAGACACACACAGACCAGCCTTTAGAGTAGCTCAGAGAGAGAGACACACACACACACAGACCAGCCTTCAGAGTAGCCCAGAGAGAGAGAGAGAGACACACAGACCAGCCTTCAGAGTAGCTCAGAGAGAGAGAGAGACACACAGAGCAGAGAGAGAGAGGGACACACACACAGAGACATACACTGAGACCAGGCTTCAGAGTAGCCCAGAGAAAGGGAGAGAGACACACACACAGAACAGAGACAGACACACACACACACACACACACACACCAGCCTTCAGAGTAGTTCAAAAAGAGACACACACACAGAGCAGAGACACACACACTGAGACCAGCCTTCAGAGTAGCTCAGAAAAGAGAGAGAGACACACACACACACACACACACCACACGGGCATCAAGTAAGTGCGTGCTTTCCGCAGCCACTAGTGGCCAAAAACCACACACCACATACTGTATTGGCTTTTTTTTTGCGTAACTCGCTGTCCCCCCGACGCTCTGCAGCACTCTCTGCAAAATGGAATCAATCACAAGACTTTTTTTTCGCATATGCAGGAATTTGTGTTTTTTACTCGACTGTTAATTGGCAAAATCCACACACACACACACACACAGAGCAAACATACACACACACACATCAAACACACACAGAAAACACACACACATCAAACACACACACACACACATCAAACACACAGAGAACACACACACACACACATCAAACACACACAGAAAACACACACACATCAAACACACACACACACACATCAAACACACACAGAGAACACACACACACACATCAAACACACACAGAGAACACACACACATACACACACACAGAGCAAACATACACACACACACATCAAACACACACAGAAAACACACACACTTCAAACACACACAGAGAACACACACACACATCAAACACACACACATCAAACACACACAGAAAACACAGACACACACACAGAGCAAACATACACACACACACTCATATATATAGCAAATATACATACACACACACAGAAAACACAGACACACGAACACACACATAAAAACCACACAACAACCCACACACAGAAAACACACAACAACACACACGCACAATGCCAGGGGAATGTGCTATTCAACAATTCACTTCCCACACGCTTGCCCAATAAATCCCCCCCAAATAAATTCGGTCGCATCGCTCCATGTTTGCGGGATGTCACTGTGCACAAGCAGGTATTTCGCCCACAAAATACACAGTCACTTCCACTCTACAGGGCATCCTGTGAAACGCTTCGAGATGTTTCGGCGACGTGATAAGGTGCTGTAACAAACGTAACGGTGATTGTTGTTATTATTGCAGTGTAATGTGAAGCTAAGTGAGAGGCTGAGTTTGGAAGTAAATTGTAGGGTTTCCCATGTGCTGTAACTACGGTAACCAAACAGGACAGAGTAATTACAGAGGTTGAGACAACAGAGGGCTGGAGTAAATAATCACAGCTATGATGGCCAGGGAGAGCACCTGCTGCTAACATCTCAGCTCCAGCCATTAGGAACAGGGACTGTTGCATTAAATGTTTTGAGATAATTAAATCCTAACCCAAGTGGATCTGCTTGGGAAAATAAATGATTTCACCAATGCATTAGCCTGATGGGTTACAGAAAAGAGGGTTGATCATATGAGCATGTAAATCAAACCGTCTTTTCGCTTCCTTTTCTTTCCCTGACCACCACCCTCCCCCCCACACACACACACACACACCATGTCGCTAGCCTTGCATTGCATCAGGCTCACTATGGTTGGGTTTAGCACAGGCTCAGAGCAGCGTAAAACTCTTTCTCTATAGTCCCAGCCCCACAGCTTTCTCTCTGTTATTACCAGCCTCGGCTCTCGCCAACCTGCGCCTAATACTTTCCGGAATTACAAAAGGTGAGTCACTACTGTTATTGAGTGGAAACAAACAGCCATTCAAATAGGGTGACTAAGTTTGCTGCATAAAAAAAGGTTCCTCAGGATCAAGGAACATACTTAGCAAATAAAACTGTAAAATCTGCCCAACAATTAAAAACTCATAATAATAAATAACTCTCTAAATGCAATCGGTATGTTATTTGTTAAAAACGTTAAGAGAAAACTAAACCTGGAAATTATTAGTCCAACTGGCAGCTGATTCAATCCCTCTCCCCCATCCCCCTCCCCCCACATTTCATCTGGCCCACCCACACCTTCCATAACTCATAAGTGTTATGTTTCTGGAAGGGAAACACAAAAATATTGCTTAAAAACCCCCATGGGCATTTCTCAAATAGGGCATCCAGCCCTCAGCACCCAAAAGGTTGGACCACCCTAGCATTGCAGACTATTTCGCACTCCAGGTATGAGGCAGTTTGCTAACGAAAAGGAAACATTAACAAGTTTAGCAAAAGCTAAGCTCCGCAGTGTTAGCAAAAGCTTACACTGCGGAGATAAACTACAAAGTTGTCCTCAGAAATCCACTGCTCATAAAGGAACATTATCTCTGATCATCTCAGTTAGTTTTGTACATCAAATACTAAGTGCTGTTCAGAGAAGCACAAAATCTCTTCCCTGGAGGCACATTAATGATTTAAGTGCCTAATACCCAAAGGTAAATATAATACACGAAGCATGTCAACGTTAATAGTTAACACTATTGATTACCCGCTAACATATTTTCGATGTAATGCTTGCGTTGCTTTGTGACATGTACAACAATCTTTAGACTAATGGAATTTCCCCTTATCCATTTATGTATGAGGGGAAATCAGGGCATTTTGGTCCCGCGAGATAGTTTCGCAAGATAAGGGCAGTTCGAAAAAAAATATAAGAATCGTGGCCATTTTAAAATGCATTACAACTCAAAAGGTGAAAAATATGTGGAACCAATTTCAATTCATCTCTTGCTTTCCAACTGTAACAAAATTCAATATTAAATCTCCCTAACTTAATTGATTGGCGGATTGCTTTTCCGAGATAATAATCCCTTCAGAAGAACAAAATTGGTCACTCAATCCACATCTGTTTGTGGGACAGTGCCAGCGCAATTGGCTGCTTCCTTTTGCCCACAAAATATACAGTCAATTCACTTTACAACAACAACAACTTGCATTTATATAGCGCTCTTCACGCAGGATAATGTCCCGGAGTACTTGACAGTGACGATATCTGACGCTGAGCCAGGGTAGAAGGAGGTGACCGTAAGCACGATCAAAAAGTATCGTCTTTAGGCAGGATTTGAATGCGGTATGGGAGGAGGCAAGGTGGAGGGATTGAGGGAGAGAGTTCCAGAGTTTCAGGGAGTAGTGGCTGAAAGCACGGCCACCGATGGTGGAGTGGAGGGGACGAGAGACAAACAGGAGGCCAGAGCCAGCCGAGCGGAGGTA